ATTCCAACTGACACATTATATTAAATATATTCAAAATTTACAACTCGTGCTTCTGCTGCAATTTAATGGGTGGCTCACACAATATTGGCAGAAAGCTATCCACTAGTACAACTGGACACAATTTGACAGGGTATTGTCATTCAAAGCGTAACCGCTCCGGTGGCCTAGTGGTTAGAACGTCCGCCTCGGATGGGGGAGGTCGATTCATACTAAAGACTTACAAAAGTGGTACTAACAGCTGCCTCGCTTGGCGCTCAGCATTAAGAGGTTAATGTTAGGACTGATCAGCCTGGTGTAAGGATAATGCAACTGGGTGGAACATCATGCGACATGACTGTGACATGATCCCTCAGTGCTAGACCATCACTATAAACTGCCCCACTGCAGATATCGTAGCGATAAGTTGAAAAATGTTAAAGCTACGATAAAAATCACAATCACAACACATCATTCAAAGCGTTTGTCCCTTCCCTCGTTCCCTAGGTCGGTTGTTTTGCTGAGGGATTGGTGGTGCCGTGATGTGTCGCTGTGATCCTGTGATCGTTGTTTTTTCTGGACCCTTCCGGCGTCTCATCACCGGGCGTGTTTCGCTTTGCACAACAGGAAGTAAAGGAGACGTGGTCAAAGGTAATAGGTCATTATTCCCAAAGGCCCAGCTCACGGGCAAAAAGCCCTGCTAAGGGCTAAAGCACCTCCTTGGGAAAGCAGTAACAACCCTGTGTTTATATCCGGATTTGGCGGTGTGCCATTTAATGGGGCTATTGCCAAGCCTATGGCACATGACCGACGCCTGGGACTGTAACAGTCGTAAAAGCACAAAAGTGCATAACCAACTGTTTTGTAGTAATTAAATTGCTCGTGTGAAAGGTTTAAAATTCTTTTCATTTTATATTTGTTTCATTGTATTTAATTGCAATGAATATTTTTTTCGGATTCAGGATTCTATTTTTAGTGAGATAAATTTTTATCACAAAGTTTGTTTTTTCAAGACGAAGCTGTAATACATGAGAATTAACATTTAGTTCGACCTACCTTGGTAATAGTGTCAACAGAAAGTTAAAATGATTGGTCAGTATCAAGGGCATACTTTCTGTGCATGATCACTGTTTGTAAACAACTTTTTTATGACTGGTTTTCAAGTGGAGTGACATTGGCCTACATGACAAAAATAGTGTATTAAGAGACCACATCATCAATCTTGCGAGACTTCAAATGAGGCATTGGCGTTCTAAATATGCAATCCTAATATTTTTTTTCAGAGAGTAATTCAAAACCTTGATGAACAAGGTGTATTTTTAATTTGTTACCAAGATTGTTTGTTCTTCGTCTGATTTCTGGATTTAATAATTTATTTCCCTGGAAACTCAACAAGTTGACTTTTCTATAAAAATAATTCTGAAAGATATTCAAGTAAATCAATTCTGGAATTATTTGGAGACAAAGACTGATTCAAGTGAGCAATTATTGTTATTCATACATAGGACCATGAGACCTGGCCACTGCAACTTGCAATAACCTACCTAAATAAAACAGCTTTGAAAGTTCATCCCCATATTTATAAATATTTATAGTTTTATTAATTTTGGGGTAGTGATCTGTTTTTTTTTTCTTACCCCAAATTAAGAGGCTAACATTTGCTGAAAAAAATCATTCCATGTTTATTCAACATTTCATTAGCATGGAAAATAAACAAATATAACATGGACTGAAAACCATTTCATGGATTAAATTAAAACACTGCCACCATAAACAGCTGAGTTTTTTACCCATCAGCTACAATGTTATTTTTCATAAAAAAACACAGACACAGGCTACATCTTTGGTATTATAACACAGTATCTTCCCATGTACAGCAATTATACTCAATTATTAACAGCATGGACCCTATCAACACCATATAAAATGTCAAAACAAACATTGATGAATAAACAGTGCAGACACTGATCCATTAGCAGATAATGCAAAAACAGATTTGGGTCCACAATTAGTTTCAGCCTGCCCAAACTGTATATGCATTAAGAATCTGCTGATATTGGACTCCAAAAAAAATATCAAAACCACCAAAATTTTACACACCCTTTGGCAGCTTGTTTACATCACTAAGATATGTTTTGATCTTATCCTTTTAGAAAGTGTTGAAACTGAGATTATCTCAAAATTTATATGAAATAGAAAGATGCATACAAGAAACTGTTTTTGCACCATTCTTCCTGACTGATAAAAATTTTCTTTTTCTTTACCCTCAAAATCTGAATCATCATGCTTTCTGTATTTATTTAATTTGCCTTAATATTTACAGCACCTCAAAAGTTAAGGAATTTCACATTCATTTATTTTTTTTTTCACCTTGTCTTGTTTTGGCTGTCTACAACATATGATTAAAGCCAAATTGGGCCAGGTTAACCAGGCCATGTACAATGTTTTCAGTTAACACATTATGCAAAAGACAATACTGTAATACAGCAACCCTTTGGTACTACTGTATATACCTACCCTATTATCTGAATGCTCTTTGTTTTTAAAAGAAGCATATTTATGATACATATATATATATATAAAGCAAAATCCTTTATAAAAATTATTTTCATCCACTAAAATCTTTCTTAGCAGAGTTATGCATATAAATTTTATTTATCAAAAAAGGACAACACCGTCTTCAATTTACTCAATGACTGGGCTTCTATATCAAGGACACTGTTCTAAAGGAAATAAACATAAACTTTCCTTATGCATTAACATAGAAAAGGAAAATTCCATTCTTGGGTCTGAATTTAGACACAATGTTGTGCTGAGTTTTTGATGCAAAATTTTAATCTTGTAGGTGAAACTTCCTATCCAACATTTACATCTTTTGAAGGGATACTTTTGTCACAGTCCTGATATGTTGTGTAAAAAAAATCTAGGTTTGACTTTTTGTGTGCACTCTAAGCTGTCGAGGGTTATGTGATACAAAACAAATCAAATGATAAAAGACAGTGATATTCCCATCTGATCTGCACATAAAAACACAATGATATACATGTAGAAATGTGATAAATTATGGTTTTTCAAGTGTCCACTACAGGCTGGTTTTACTTTCCTGTTTCTCTGGTGTCCTCTTTCATCTGGTTGAACTTTTTTTTTCAACTTTTCACTATAGACAGTTTTCAATGAACAAAAGATAAGATTGCACTTTATTTCTTTTTCAAGCTGGCTATAACAGAATAATTTAGATCAATGATACATACACCATCAAGAAGATGCCCTTTGATACATCATCCCTCAATATACCACTGTCTCCATTATTATGCAGATATGGTCATACACTTTTTTAAATTCACTAAACTGAGTTATACTTTTATTTCACTTGATTTCCAGCTGACAAAGTTCATGAAGTATTTAAATACCTTTATTGTAATTCTGTATTTAAAATACTCCATTATGACAAAATTTTTACATTTCTAATTATAAAATGACTTCAACTTGAAAATCTATTCATAGTTATGACAGACATAATTATAGGCTACTACAGTTGTATATGGAAATATTATAGTTTTTCTGGGTAATTCTGCACGATGTTAAGAGTGCAGTATTGTTTTAAAAAAATGAGGTTATATTTTCCCATTCAAAAGGTATTAACATTTATTATATATTAATTTTGAATATCTTGGACTGATTCTACCATGAAAGGATTTTGTCTTCTTCTACACTGCATGGTGACAAAGATAATCTTTCTCAACAGGTGGCTTCTTTCTGAGCCTCATGGGTGTAACTAACAGTAACACTCAATGACATGACATTCATTTGTAATTTCAATTACAACATCAAAAACAGGTATTTTATTGAGTAAAATGGATACCTCTTTTGACTTAATTTAATTCAAAAATAATGAAAAGGAAGACAAGAGGCCCAACTGGACCTGAGCCTGCTCACCTGACTGATATCTGCTAACCAAATGCAAGGTCAATGAATCTAGGTCAGTAGGATATATTTTGTTGAAAATCTCTCTAGTTCTGTAGATTTCATATTTTATGAAAACAAATGTTTCAAATCTCCTCTAGGTTTTGCATCTTTATTTGACTGCACATTGTCATTTGACAAATACCAAAAGGCATCTATGCCTGATGGTCAAATTTTGTTCAGCATGCCATTTTTTATACTTTTTTAGAAATAAAATCTGAAAGCATTCAACAACATAACTTTTTTCTTCAAATTTGGTAAAATTTGCTCTAAGTACTTTATTTTGAAAAAGTTGTAACAGGTTTTTCAAATTTTAGTACAGTCATATATGGTGGCATAATGTCATCATTTGCACAGACTTGAGAGTCTTCAAGTCAGATTACATTTCGTCAAGTTTGTTTGGTTTGGTGTTTTATGGTAGAGCAATACAAGCAGGTCATTAAGTGCCAAGGCAATCTGAATAAAGTACTTTACCCAAAAGACACACCATGGTAGCCAACCAAAGATGATCAAAATGTAGGATTAGGTGTGTTAACCACAGAGCAAGAAGTTATTTCAGTGACAGTATTTGATGGTGGATTATCATCATTTTTATAAACGTTTTCAAGATATGATTTTTGTCAAGTTTGGTTAAATTCTATTCAGTGGCTTTGGCAAAAAAGCCATTTAAAAGACTTTCTATTTTTGGTATTTTTGATATATTTGATAGCTGACCAGGATCATTTCCAAAAATTGTAAAGGCATTCAAGACAATACTTTCTGTGCAACTGGATCACTTTTTGTTCAAGATAGGTCAATTAAAGGTTTTTTCATTAATAGTAACAGTGCCCATTTTTGATGGTAGATTTACATCAATTGATTATCAGTGATGTGTTGTGATGTGATGATTTTTAACGTAGCTTTAACAATTTTTCAGACATATCGATATTATGTCTGCATTGTGGCAGACATCATAGTGTATAGTGATGTCTAGCACTGAGTAATCATGCCACAGACATGAAGCATGATGTCCAACCCAGCCACATTATCCTGACACCAGGCCAGCCAGTCCTAACACTAACCTTTTAATGCTGAGTGTCAAACCCACGACCTCCCACATCTGAGGTGGACGCTCTAACCACTAGGCCACCGGAGCGGTTGTGATTATTAGTAACAGTGCCCATTTTTTATGGTGGGTTTACAGTATTTGTACTAATATAAAAGGTTTAATGTGCATTCTATCAAGTTTGGTCAAATTCTCCTCTGTGATTCTGGAGAAGTCATCTAATGGCTTTTGACATCTTTAATATTAGCATCAGTCATGTTTAATGGTTGATCAGAACCATTGCACAATCTGAAAGTTCTTCATGCCAGGATGCTTTCTGTTAAATCTAATCAAATTTGCTAGCAGTTTATGAAAAGTTATTTAAAAGTGTATCTATTTTTAGTAACAGTGGCCATATCTGATGATGGAGCCAAAATCTCTTCTGACCAGAATGTTTTCAATCAAATTTTATTCATCAGTTTTGTAGTCATTTAAATGTTTTTATATTTCATGCCAAGATGCTCTGTGTTAAATATTTGGTAGAAATTAGTTTGTCATTGCTTGAAAAGTTGAAAATAGCAATTGCTGACAGAAAAAAGATTGAAAATTATAATGCAAGACATGCCATACCATAAGCTCACTTGGCCATATGACCTTCTAACCTAAAAACTGGTTTCATTTCTGATAATTTTGAGGAATACACAACTGAGAAAGTATGATGCAAACATAAAATATTGAGGTGTGACCTAGCTCGCGAATGTGGTGCATGACACACCCTATAATGATATACCAGATTTCCTCCCTTATTCTAAATGGCCTTTATTTTCTGGAGTGGACGGTAAAGTGGGATGGAAAACAAAATAATGAGTTGTGGCCTTAACTATGAATAGAGTAACATCAATCTTGGAACACATACCATTTAGTGATGATGTATAAAAAATGTCATCCTTTAATCTCAAATGTTAAAGCACTAAACAGGAATGTATCCAACAGATGGTCGGGAGCATGGATAGGAATCAAACAATTTACAAAGATACAACTGCATATTCCATGTGCGCCATAAATTTCATAGCATTCTGTTTAGGTCATGCAGTATAATGAAACTCTGAATGGAGAGATATTGCACAGTTCTGACAATGTTAAATTTAGAAAATATGTGTTTATAACAGAGCAACTTAAAGTGATGATCTACTGTGTTTCTAAAGCCCCATTTTAAGGAAAACAATAAATACAAAATCCCTTTAATTCTATTATTCAAACTTTGGGAAACAATAAAATAACAACTGAAAAGAAAAAAAAAACACTGAATATAAATCACCCTTGACTTCTTTATCTTTGGCAAGTATGTCATAACAGAGACTTATGAGGGATTTTTTCACTCAGCTACAGAAAAATATGGTTGCTAGTTTTAAGTTCATCTGAGATATCAATGAACATATGCCTATAAACAAAAACTGACATGAGGGCATTCTTTAAGGTCAGATTAGGTTGACGACTGTCATTTTGAATGCCACTGACTGAAAATAATCATACTGTACTTGAAAATTCTCAACAAAAAAAATGTGATGGAATGTTTAAACTAAAAACTTCCACCACATCAGCCTTAATTATGTGCTGTGAAGTAGCAAATTATAAACAGTATTACCCGTTTTCAAACAAACAAAACATTGAAAACATATGCATCAGATACCTAGATTAACATAAACTTAAGTTAAAAATTTAACAGGCATTGCTGCAATAGTGTTATTTCACAAACTCCACAGGAAAACATTATGAACTCTTCAATCAAAAGGGAAAGAATTGTTATTTTTGCACAACATTTTCAATTTCTGTTGAATTTTATCATTCAACCATATCTTCACAACATCTAATACATTAAGTCAACTTTTGTTAGTGCCCAAGAATATATAAACAATGTTTAAATGAATACATATAAATAGTTAAAAATTGTAAGAAATATAGATTTTGTAACAGTATACAAAATTTGTAAACTTTTTGATCGCAAATGTTACAGCTAGGAAGTGTACAACTTTCATTATTTATGGAACAAAACTCCTACTACAGTAGTCCCCTCTTATACAGCCACCCCTTCTGCACTGGAAAAGTGTCCTTATAAGACAGGCGGCCTTTCCAGAGGGAGACTAATTTTTTGTGAGAAGTATATGTAATGTACGTAGTAAGAAAGCTACAATTATCAAAGCTTTTAATATTTTCATTTAATATCGTCATTTAAAAGTAACATTAGTTATTAAAAGGTTCTTCTTCGTATAATATACTTATTTCAATTGAATATGCATTAATAGTTCCTATTTTTGGCATAAACGTGTTATGTGAGTGTGTGTTGTTGTCATGCAGATTGCAAAACCATTCAAGAACATCATTTAAATCTTGTATCATACATAATTTTCTTTCTGTTTGCTCCATTTTCCCAATTCTGCTGAATAACCTCCTTGTTGGTAACAATGTTGTTTATTTGAGTCTGTTCAACATAAAATTGTTTTAATCAAGTCTTGTCTACATAAAATTGTTTGGCAAGTCCCCCCTCCCCACTGCAAACGATGTCGTAGAGTAGAATAACTTACTTTTTTCTAAAATAATTGTCTCCATTTACATGATGACATGTTTGGCAGTGGTTTTTATTTGGATGTTGCTAACTATATGTGATTTAATTATGCAGATGAATGCTTTGTAGAGCGGACAAAATGCCTTCTTCGTAAAGGAATAAATGCGTTGTCATATGATCTTTCGGTCTTTGTATGGTTAATTTCTCGGTGTGAGCCTGTGTCTGCACAAAATCTATTTTTTTGCCTATGCTGACCCTGTTATGATCTGGACAATTATGTCTGGTTGTAATCATCAACTACAAGGCTGATAAAACTGTTTCTGCATTTAAACAAAATGCCATGTGTTTTTAAAGGCAGTGACCTTGTCATGTGATTAATTAGTCACAGTCTGGTACCCTACTGTTTTTATGTTTCTTTACACTAAGAGAGGGAAACCAAACAGCTTTGATATGTAGATATGTACGCAGATTTAACCTGATCAATAGCACCTTGTGACCATTAGGATCTGTAAACTTAGCAATTATTTTCAGTAGTAATAGTCACTAATTGTGAAAGTGAAAAAGCTAAACATCTTACTAAGGGAAGCCATAAAGGCTATCAAACCATTTTCCTGCTGACCTGTGCACTGTATATCAATACCCCCACTTCTCATCTGTTACTACTGTTTAATAATTGTAATCTTAACAATTATCAGAGACTAAACCAGACATCTCATGATAGCACAGCACTAAGGCTAATCAGATTATGTGTACCTACCTTTTTGTATGGATAAAACCTGAATCTTACTTGGCTTTATGGGATAAATGTGGCTTTATGTGATGGGCAAATGATGTAATAATAACCTTGGTGGTACATGTACTTTAGTCAACACTTCTGTCAGTAATGAAAACCTGATGTCGGGAAACTGAAAACGGATTACTTAACACACGTTTTGAATAAAATACTGGTTATGGATACACTTTACGAAATAAAATGTGGCCACTTGTGAGGAGTAAATTTGATATTTTTGCACTAATATGCTGTCCACTAATCACATATGCATGGTGGCCTTTTATGAGGGGTACTTTTGAACACAAACTTGTCAATGCCAATTGATTCTGGCCATAAGGAGCGTCAGGGGTCTGTTCAAGAGGACTACTATAATTCCATTATTTCTAAAAAAATTGAATTTTCTTGGATTTAGCAGGTAAGATGAAGGTAATTTTTTCTGATTTAAATGTTAATACTGTAAATATTATGACAATACATTGAATTTGTGTAAATGTTATGTGACAAATATGCTGCACATATTCCAAAATCTGGATCTGAAGTACTGTATAAATTAAACATACATACTGGCATCTTATTAATATAGCCTCTATCTGAAGTCTGTATAAATTAAACATACATAATGGCATCTCATTAATATAGCCTGTATCTGAAGTCTGTATAAATTAAAAATACATAATGGCATCTCATTAATATAGCCTGTATCTAAAGTCTGTATAAATTAAACATACATAATGGCATCTCATTAATATAGCCTGTATCTAAAGTCTGTATAAATTAAACATACATACTGGCATCTCATTAATATAGCCTCTATCTAAAGTCTGATTAAAAACCCCAATAAGCTTAGCCAATCAGATGCAAGATCACCTCATCAATATGTGTGGATCCTGTTCACTTTCAGTAGTGTCTTGATGATATAAGCCCTTGTTCCAAGTTTGATCAAACTAGATTAAAATTAAGACTTCTAGAGTGGTAATAAGCTCAGTCAATTAAATATTAGATTACCTAATTAATATGCATGGATTTTGCTCCTTACTGAAATTGTCCAAACTCTTGATAATACAAGGGCATGGTCCATATTTGATTTTTAAAAAAAAAGATCAGAAAAACCACCACCATGTGATCTAAAAACAGAATTATTTATTTGAAAGAGATTTCAAAATTATCTGAATCCTTGATGCAAGCTGAGTGTTGAATCAAATTTTGTTTTATTGTAAACCTCAAAGTAGATTAATCTTTAAGTACATTAGTAAAAAATCTGAAAGTTGTGACACACTGCACAAGAATGAACTGTTTGGAACCATTCAGAAGGTCTCAGAAAATAGAACAGATTCTTTTTGAAGAATTGAGAAATTTTCCTAAATGCACTAATCTTTACACAGTAAACTGAAAACAAAAACACAAATGCTATTTTTTTTACATACATATTATATAGAGATGGAAATTTTCTTTCTTAAAAACATGAATCTGTCAAGTAATGAAATGTTCTCCTACTAGTGTCAAATTGAGTCTGCCATTTTCTCAGCATTATAAAATATCATTGAGCAACAATCTATACACATTCAAAAACAGCTTTACTGACTAGTTTTGCCTTTAAAAACCACAGAGTTATATCATTTCTATATGTGGGTTGATCCAAATGTTTATGCACATGGTGTATTATAAAAAATAAACAAAGTTATACAACTAAAACTTGAGCATATCTTACGTATATAATCTCATACCATTTTGCAAATATCTAAAAATGTTTCTGAAAATTATTATATTCAATTTA